TACACAGTCATCAGAGTTTTAACATAATTTCCTTACATTCTTTAACTACTGCCAGTATCAAGAGCAAAAATGCTGTCCCAGCTCTTGGATTTTTGACTGACATGAAGACTGTGAGAAGGGTGGGTGCAGCTGTTCCTGGTGTCCTGCCCCAGTGCTCCTCACACGGACCCTCTTTGTCTCTTTCAGGATGGGTGTTTGGAAGATACCTATCTCTCAATTTCATCCAATCTGCATAAAGTCACACCCCTGACACCACAGCCACCCTCAGATACTCTGAGCCATTGGCCAGACACCTGTTTTGCTAAGTGTGCCACTCCTGTCACACCAGAGTTCCCTTATACCCTGAATTAGAAGCTGGTGAAAATATGGCTGCTGGTCCAGCAGCAACACTGGGAAATATGGAGAAGGGATGCAGCATGGTTTGGTCCTAACATTGACCCCAGAATGGCCCTGGTCAGATCTGGGATCTGAGCATCCATCATATAGGGACGTTGTGTCAGGAGCTTTTAAGTATCTCACACTAGTCACACGTGCAATACGGAACCCTCCAATGTATCTGTTTGAAGACTGTCAAAAAAATAGACCCTGAAATATAGTAGTATGTGTTTAAAAATGGAGTTACAGACACAAATTGCATCTCATAGCAATGATATTTTTGACAGATAAATTCCTCAATTAATGTTATTTGGACTTGCAGTAAAAAAGTGAAAATGCCAGCAGTATCTCTTTCTATGACCTCACTCTTAAGATTTTCGATAGTAAAATAATTCAACATTTTGAGATAATTTCCCCCAGCTAATCCTTGGCCTTGATTATGCCACAGAAAAACATTCCAGTGTGTTCAAATAATGAGAACTACTGATGGCACTAAAAGGAGGAGCTCAACATCAAGGACAACATCCAGTTTTATCATGCTCCCATGTAGCCTGCTGAAGATAATAAAAATAGACTACTCCAACTAGAAATTTTTGTTCATCTCTAGCATTTAAAATAATAATCTCAAAAATTATCCTGAAGGTTCAAGGATGGCAAAGACCTTTACATAAAATAAATATTTTAATAGCTCATTTATCAAGTTTATTCCTGGCAGTCAATACATACATTTTTTTCCTCCCTAAGTTTATTTTGAACCATGACTGTATTTACTTTGGTATAAAGAGAACTGCATGATGCTTCTTCTCCATTCCTGGGACTACAGTCCAATGTAGTGAATGAAACACTAACCTTAACAGCAGTGGCACTCTTTGCTCATCCTTTGGTTCAACTCCTGTGCTAGGCTGAGCAGTATTCCCTTAAGCCTTCCAGGTAGCAACCAACCCATGGAGCCTCTGATTTGTCAGACTGAGCCCCCAGCCTTCCCCAGCTCCTGCCGTGAGAGGGGCACCCAGCACTGCACAGCTCAGAGGGAACACAATGGCAGGAGGAGGGAACTGAGGTCTTTGCAGTGCCAGACCATAAGACATTTATTCCATGAGGCAAATGTGGGTTTGTGGTTCAGGAAAACTTTTGGGACCTGGCTTTCTATCCCCTGGAATTTTTAACTGCAAACCAAAAAGCAATACACAGAATTGTTTGGAGAAAAGGAGCTGAAGTCTTAATTTTAGAAGAAAAAATTGCATTTCCAGCTGGAGTTTGTAGATTTGTGACCTAAAGCTGTGGTGTGTATTAATACACCCAAAGTAGTGGCACAAGCTTTTGCATAGAGACCAAATCAAGACTGAAATGAGCCCTCACTGAAGGCAGCAACACAATTCCTGTGGAATCTCAAGGACCTGGGATTTTCTTTAGGAATGGAGGTGGATGAAGTTCAGAGGTTAACAAAGTTCAGACATGACTGAAGTTCTTAGTCATGCTGAGTTCTTAGTCTCTAGTGAAGCACAAGTTCCTCTGGCTAATCCCCAAGGCAGCTCCACATCTCTTGCAAAGGCAGCCCTGCCTGAGAGAAAACTCTTACCCCTGCCTGTCATCTGTTTTCCATCCCTTGGGGATGAGTTCAGGGGTGCTGCCCAAAGTGGGACACCAGAGGCAGATGGAGAGGGACATGGGCAGAGCAACTCACACCACCTCTACCTTTCCCACCTGCAAAGCTGGGGTAGTCAGCTCTCCTCACCACTGTGTTCAGCCCATGTGTGGGAGCAGAGGGGAATCTCAACCATCAGCCCCATGTCTGGCTGGCAAAGTGGGGGAGCCCCTCTGTTCCAGGCTTTCAGGGGACAGGGAAGGAGGATCCCTTGCAATGATTCCTCAAGGCACCTGAGGGAGGAACATTTATGTAGGTCATGTTGGTTCATTATTACTTGTTGGAGGGCAAGAGATTGTGCATGGAAGGGGAAGGACAAAGTAGCAATGCTTTGGAGAGGGGCTGGATTGCTTTCTCAGGCTATTGATATGGACCAGAGTCATCCTGTGGCTTCACCTTCACCAGCAACAATGAAAAAGGCAATGGTGTGGCCACTGCCACCACCTCTCCATCACTCTTTGCTGCTCCTGCATTTTCTCCTTCTGCTAAAGCAGCTGCTCTCCATGTGCTGAATCATATGAGAGAATGCAACTCAGCAAAAGGTTGGGTTTTCTTGTAATTTTTTTTTTAAACCCAGTAGTTTTAATACCAGTAGATATTTTTCAGCCAGATGAACCATCTGAACAGGTTTGCTCTGAGGCTGTGCTAGCAGAACAGAAGCACTGGCACAGGCTGAGCATGGAGAGAGCCCAGTTAAGCCCACAGCACACACACACAGGTAGCCCTGGGGTGCTACATTTGAAGAGCAAAACTCTGGAAAACTAATGCCCCTCTCATGCACATGGGAAAGAAGCACAAAGCTGATCCTCAGACAAAATCTTTATTTATCAAATTTTTATAAATATCTTTTATCTTTTGGGTCTGGCCGCTAAATGATTTGTATGCCTTCCACCTACAGTTTTCCACAGATTTTTCATTCTAATTACATTGGAGTTGTCACAAGAGGACAATGTCTACAATAATGAGTAAAGAATGAGGAAATCAGCAATAAAACAGCCACAAGTCAGTGAAGGGCAGTGAATTCACTGTGAGTGAAATGCAGGAGGGACAGGAAAGCCAACAGGATGACTGGCAGATTTTACTGCGAGGATGGTAAGAGTCCACCCCCACCACAACTTTACTGCTGTTGGCCATAGTTCTAAGCCCTGTGCTGCCCTGTGCTGGGTGTGGCCAGAGGCCCAGGCGCTGCAGCAGGAAGCAGTCTCCTGCACACTGCTCTGTGAGGATTTTTCCTTCTGTCTCCAAGTTTGTCTTGTTAGCATTATCTGGAAGTTTAGGGCTAAGGCTACAGCTCTGTCTCCCTATTTCCTTCTGCAGGCTTCTGTATCCTCTGCAAGTTGCACATTCAGTTCCCAGAGCATGCTCCAAATTCAGTATTTACAGCTTGCTAATTCCTTGCAAGTTTCCCAGATGGAGATGCAAACATGAATTGACCATGCACTTTGATACCCAAGATAAAAGTTTCCCTTGTCTGCTGATTTTTTCACATCTGAATTCATACCATTTCATACCATTCAATTTCATGGAATTTCATACCATTTTTTCATGCTGATTTTTTTTATGTTCATTCTGTACGATTGAACATGTTTCTTCTATCTTTAGGGATCACCAGGCCATTGCTTTAAGTGGGCTCTGTGGTGCATCCTCAACCTGGTGCTGGCCCACAGCCACAGCAAAAAGAAATTCTCTAAAGGGTGGCCACAACCAGACAGTTGAGCTTAGCACATCATCACAAGAGTATCCAGAGCTGGACATGGGGCTGAGTTTGGGGAGATGTCCCCTACCTTCCCATGTCAAGGTATGTACTGCCCCAAGGATGCAGGATGTGGCTCCACAGAGAATGGGGAGGACAGGGAGGAATGAGGGGAGGAAGCACATGGGGCAAGGACAGGGGCTGGGTCACAAGGGAAGTGTGGGATTTGAGGCATGACAGCGGTAGAACAGGCCTTGGGGAAGGGGCAAGAGGCCCAGGGAGAGAGACTGCAGGGTGGAGTGTCGGTGTGGGATGTTATGGGTGAGAATATTTGGTGGGTTGGTGGTTGGTGGTGGTTTTAAAGCGGCAGCGGCAGGAGGGTCTGTTACAGAACCACCCAGGCCAGAGACCTGAGGGAAAAAAAAAAATTCCTGGCCTCTAGTCCAGCAGCAGAGTGGCTTCAATGGATTGTAACAAGTTATCTTCAGAGGGAGTTGCCACTTCAGATGTTGCAAGGCCCTTGACACCCACACACACACACTGCAAATAGGAAGCCAACCCGTCCGTGCTGGAGCCCAGGGCTTGTTATCTGTTATCCTCAGGAAGAGGCTCTGCAGAGCGCTGGGATGGTGCAATTGCAGCTGCCAGCCCTGTGTCCTGCAGCTGCAGCATGCCTGGCACAGGTGGAGGCTGAATGCACAGAAAGGGCTCTGGGGGGGCTGTCACCCCCGTGGGGACCTAGTTCCAGGCATGAGGACAGCACAGCACTTCTGCAGTCACCTCCTGACACTAATTCCCCCACCCTGTGGCTGATTTCTGGGTGCAGTCCAGCATTTGTATGTCTTGCAGGAATTGGCAGGCTTTGAAACTGCAGCTTCCTCACTTGGAGGGGTGACGAGATGATGAGGATGACAACTGTGCTGGAGGGAGGGATTTAATGCACCCTCCCAGTACCTCCCAGCGCCGTATTAGTCACAAAGGTCACATCTATTAAAAGACAGAGCTGAAGTGTGTGGCAAATGGGTCACATGTTACCAGCTTCTTGTTTCCACTCTAACTCATGCTAGAGGGGAAGTACTGTAGTGTCAAACAATTCCTCTGGGACCAGAGGTCTCAAGGCAGGGAATGCTGCTTCCATCCACTGGTTAACAGGAACAGGAAGGAGAGGGGGGAAGCTACCAAAAGATTTTGCCTATACAAACTATTTACCTAAATTCCCCAAGGGGATAGGAGAAACTCAGAGAAACTTTTCTCTTACTGCCATTGCATTTACAAGGAGAAAGCTCTTGCAGATCCTTTCCCAAGTGAGTTTTCTAACCAGACTTCTTGAAATCCCATGTTGGGTATCCATGTGTTACTGCCTGTCCTCACAAGCTAGAATTGCTTTAGCAGTGGGAATGAAATGAGAAAACTCAATTCCTAAGGAGCAGGTCCATAGGGCAAAGGCTTGGGTTGCTGCCTGAGGAAGAGTTGGCAGCAGCCACCACAGCTGTGGGAAGAGGTTACCCCCCTGGTGGTGCTACAGCTGTTAGTGCTGCTGTGTGGTAAATGAGATCAGAGCTCTCAGCTGGCTGGAAAAGATTTTTTTCCCCCCTTTTTTCCTCCTTTCAGCTGGGTTTTCAGTCAGATCAGTTCCCTATTCCAGTCCATGGTCTAGGGTGCAGCTGCATGTTGAGTTGTGATGGCATGATATGAAGACAGCACAAAAATAGACTGAAGGCACAGACGGGAGAGACTCTTCCAACAATGCTCACCAGATGCAGCTGAATGACCTCTGAGGCTCCTCCTTCCCAACAGTTAACAAAAGCTCTGTTAGGCAACGTCTCCAACAATCCTGAGGCTTTGCACTGGGGAAGGTCTGCTCTTCTTCCAGCATCTGTCTTCACATGCCAGCTTCCCCTCCCCACTGAATATGAGCAAGAGGAGCAGATGTGCTAAGGAATACAAACAGGAGGATGGATTCTGAAAAGGTGGTTGAGATCCACAGATGTAACGTCCTGCTGCCAAAATGCATCCTTGAATAGTGGGGATCAAGGACTGGTCTATTTGGACAGGCCCAGCTTTGCAAACTGTGTGTCTGAGCAGCATGCAGGGGAACACACATAATATAAAGGTTGACACGGAGATGTCAAACTTCAGTGTCAGAACCAAACTGCTGAAAGTTTTCTTTTTTTCTTTCTTTTTTTTTTTTTTAAATCTCAATAGTGCAAAGAAGAAACAGCTTGAGTTGCTGAGGGCTAGTGGGATCAGGCTTAAGAACAGACCCAGGTGGGGTGAGATATTTGTAAAGTTCTTTGTGAAGGGCTGTGCGTCCACCTGTACTGTGTGTCCATCTGTGCATGCTGTCCAGGATACACTAGAAGAAAACTGAGAAATACTAATAAATTGTGTGAGAAACTACATTCCCTGGGTCTGGGAGGCTGCCTTCCTCATAAGCAATATGTTTTACAGGAAGCTTTTTTCAGCCCTAGGCTGAAGGACATTTTCAGCAAGCTGCTTGCTTGTGCATTTCCCAGTGCACAGCTGACGTGAGCAGACATGGCACGTCACAGCCTGGAACGATTTCCAGTCTCGGTGCAGGTCAGCAGCTATGCCATGTCTGCAGAGCAATTTGGCACTTTTCTAGTTTAACCCAGTTAATCAAATCAGCCTCTTAAAATGATTTTTATTCAGCACTCCAGGAAAAGCAGTCTACTTCAGCTGAAAGAATAAAAGAGTCTTCTCTCAAAATACTGACCATAATGAGTGCACTTATTGAGAAACTTCTTGGAGGAGTTGTAAACCAAACAAATCAAGATCAGCCCTTCAGAAAAACACAACCTCAGAACAGGAAAGGCTTATTTCAAATTTATTATCCAAATAAGTGTTGTCTGTATGAGAAAAAATTGTGGTATTTAGGAATATGCCCTAGAATGTGAAACATTCTTCAGTTCCGTAAAGAAACATATTTATTTTTCTGATTATTGCTGATGGAATTGTGCCTTGAGTAACTAATGAATAGTGGTTCCTTTCACTTGGATATTTCTTAAACCCACGTACCCTTAAGGAAAATTTTAACTCTTGGCCTTTTGGGGGGCTTTGCACCTCACCTTGGGGCCATGACTCTGTAACATCTCACTACTAGATTATATCACACTTGAAGTGGAGGCAACTTTGCTTATTTCAAAGTACTTATTAAATAGATTGGTGCTGTGGGCAATACCTACATAGTAGTTATTATTTAGGATATCATGGAGACTCTGAAAAGGAATATCTCTGAATTCAACATTTTCTTGGATCCAATCAGGACTGAAATAATTTGGATCTAACTGGTAGATAAGTAAGACAGATAAATTGCAAGTTCTGCCTGTACAGACTCACCTGTGCCATGTCTCCTGCTATCTAGAGATACTCTTTGACCCTGAAACTCCTCACTTAACTGTTTGTCTTTATGTCTTGAGGGCTTGATCAGTGGAAGCTTTGCTCCTGATTATAGTGGGGCATGTCTAGGCTCAGCCAAAGCATGGATGAAGTTGAAACTGCAACTTTTTTTCTGCCTCCTCATCTACACCTTTGGCCTTTGGCCTGCAGTTTAACTGTGCTAGTTTCACCCAAACCCCTGACTTTACCTCCTGCTGTGCTGCATGCTGCCACCTTAGCTCCCTTTGGGATCCCTGTATTTACTTGAGTGTCTCTTATCTATTTTCACTCCAGGTAAGAACAGCTGTGCTGGTTTGGATCACCTAACCCATTCATCTACTCTGCCAGCAATAGGGGTTGTAAGCAGATTTGTATCAATCAGTTATTGCTATTTCCAACTATTTTCAGCTCAGAGGATTTGCTGAACCTGCTGTGGCTTGCCTGTGGCACGGACCCCTCCAAACACTTGAGAGAGCATTCAAGTTCCTTGCATCCTCAGGGTGCTTTGGAAAGGACCTCCTCAGCAGGTCCACTGCCTTCCTTCTGTTTGCTTGGAACTTGGCTCCTACCAGCTTAGTGAGCTGATCCCTTATTGTCCTGGAGACACAACCAACACTCCATCTCTATCCCTCCTCTCTGTGTCATTGATGATATCATAGCTTTCCCTGTACTGTCTCACATCTCATATCTTTTCCAGCTTTATAAGTCCTATTCTCCTGCACTGTTCCTTGTACAGAAGTTGTGTCACACCTTTGCTTACCCTGTTACTTTCCCTGAATCTTTTCCATCTCTTCTCCATCCTTTTCAAGGGCCCAGAACTGCACTGAGCATTCAAGGTGCAGATACAAGATGGATTTATACAGCAGCACAGTGATCTTTCTACTTTATTGGTTTTTCCTTCTGTAGTAATTCCAAACATCTGTTTGTTCTTTGACTGTTGCAGAGCAGTGATTTTATATTTTCAAGAAAGTATCTACAGTAGTTCAACCAAGGCTTCTTTCCTGAGTAGCAGCAGTAAGCATGGAAAACATTATTTATATGTGAAAATGAAGCTGCTTCTCCTTAAATGCATTCATGGCTATATACCTGCCTAGACTGAATTTTATTTGCCATTATTTGGGCTGGTCATTCTCTCTCTTAAGAACTTCCTGAGGACTTCACCGTCTGGCCTTGTATTCCCCACAAATAACTTTGTATTTATACTTTTTAAGTTTTTGACCTTCCTGCTCACCTCATCTTGCATTTCTCTGCTCTGGCTTCCCTCTTCTGCTCACATCTCTGTCTTTTCCTTGCTTTCATCTCTCCAAAGACTCACAATATCCTTCAGATTTCTTACCTGGATCCATCATCCTTCATATACATTGTCTGCAGCCTACAAACCAGAAATGCTATACTCTTTTTTTTTCATACTTTCTACTTTGCCATGTGTTTGAGATCATGTCAAACAGAGTTGTACCAAACGTCCAGTGTCTGAAGGGAGATTGTTCCTGCTGAAAGGGGGAGAGAGAGAGAGAGAGAGAGAGAGAGAGAGAGAGAGAGAGAGAGGACAGGGTGCTCCTGCCAGGCAAATGAAGTAATATTTAGGAATTTCCAAAATTACTCATGATGTAATTTTTATTTTTTGAAAACTATAGAAAATAAAGTTGTGGGTTTTGTTAACAGGAAAAAGAGGATTTATTAGCCTTTTTTGACCCTAGTGGTTAGCCAAAGTTTGGATTGTTTCAAAACCTAGCTGTTTATTTACAAAGAACAGGCATTGCTTTCTTTGCCTAACATGAGGAAACACTTTGCTTGCAGCTCTGAGCTGTTTTCCAGCGAGTGCTGCCTGCAGTCTGTGCTACCCGGCAGCACCCGGCAAAGCGCTTTGCCAGCGCTCAGAAGATTTGTGTCATGTGCCTTCCTTTTGGATGGTGGATCCTATTGTTCCAGATAGTTTATTCCATGAAGGAAGTTAGTGGTTCCCTGTTGCCAAATGAGAATGAATAGGGCTGAAATGTCTTCTGTTTCCAAAAAGCTTCAGCATGATTTATGATGGAAGGAACTTCATAAGGAGACAGTGGTCTTCCAGTCATGTTGATTTTTCAAGAATAAAAAATCTGTCTGAAAACTCTCCTTTTTTCACTATTTCACTAGAAAAGCACAGTTCAGGCATGCAGTCTTCATACCATAGACATCTCAGCTCTCTTGAAGTCCTAGCAAAGTCAAGCCTTGCTGTAATAATAGCATGGAATTCCACCACTGGAGGCAATGTTAGCCAAGCTCAAGACTTTCAGAGATTAACCTCCTGGCCAAGCTTCCCTGTTGAAAAGTTGAAAGTAGAACATCACATCTTTTCTTGTTTTCAAGGGTTTGTAAGTGGACTGTCTCTAATGAAAAGGTTAGGGAGACAAAGAGTTAATTTGGAAATGTGAGCTGGTTTTAATGACATTCAGAATTTGCTACATCGTTTCTGCACTACATAAAAAACTTTCAATAGGTCTGTGAAATTCTAAAAAATGCTTGTGGCAACAACTGACTTCAGCTGCTGGCTCCAAACCTTTGCTTCTTCTCCATGTAGGAATATCTCTTGGTCTTTTCCAGTGATTTTTCTCATGGGGATGGTCTGATTTTTCCTCCCTCCATTCAGACTGGCCCATACTACAGTTTGGAACACATCTTTGAACACCTGAGGTGATGTAGGTCTGAGCAAACCCCCTGTAACCTGTTCACATTTTGAGTATGTTGCTCGACATCACTGCTCGTAGCCACACTCAAACACAGCCTTACAGACCAGCCAGGCACTGCCACTGCAATTCCCAATCCCTGCACGGTGTAACCCAACTCAGGCACAGCAGGAGAGGTAGCATCTCTTCCATAATCCAGACCTTTTTTGCTCAGTGCCCAGGCTTTTTCTGAGCTGTCTCCAGGAAGATATGCTCTCTGCTCTTTTTCAAAGCAAAGAGCACAGAGGGCTTTCTAACAGCAGCCTTCTGCTGCATATTCTCACTGCAGAGGACACAAATGCTTTTTCCCAAGAGGCAGTCCTGCTTTTCTTGTTACAGATGCTGCTTCTCACACTCCACTTAATGAGAGGACATATTTTTAGCTTAAGGTGTGAGTAAAGAGTAAAACCAAAGAAGTCCTCCAGTTGTGTGAGTGTTGTTAGAGCGTGCTACCTTCCATGGCAGCACAGCAGCTTCCTGGCTCTGGTGCATGTCAGCACAAGGGTAAAATACCCATGGGCAGCTTGGTGGGCTGCTACAGGCACCTGAGAGCTTTCCCTTGACTCTAACTTTGTTTATTACTCCTTCTTAGGTTTCTCTTCACCTTCAGCATCTCAAAGAGAAATTGCCTGTCCAGGGAGAGAGTGTCCCAGGCACCCTAACACAGAGATGCTCTGAAAGTGCAGTGCATGAGACCCTTTTCCATGTAAGAAGCCAACACTGAGACCTGGGCAGCTTTCTGCATATGTCAGATGTGTCAGCTCAGGGTTAACACAGGCTGAGACAGTGTTCCCTGTGTCAGACAGGATCTTCTGTGCTGGAGGTGAGCACACACAGCCTTGCTAAATCCCCAAAGGCTCATGAGCTTCTCCCAATGGTTCCTCAGTACATCCCCTGCTGCTAGGCCAGGCTGATGGGAAGAGGAGAGAGTGGGAGATGTTGCCCACAGAAATGCACTCTTTTGCAGAAGCTGTTTATGTCTGCCATGCCCACTGTCTTGCAGCTCTTTGACTCTTGTGGCTCAAGAGCCTCCAGATACATCTCAGACCTGAGTGGTATCATCTTTTCTTTAAGGTTTTGTGACAATGAAGAAACACCACACTACAGAAGAAAAACACCAATTTGAACTAGTACAGGCCAAGGAGTTACAATGAAACTACTCCTTTTATTGAACAATTTTTATGGTCTTTGCTGCTAATATGAAAATGCAGCATGACTTGTAATAGGTTAATTTTGTACCACAATATACTTTGTTAGAAACTAATGATCTCGCCTATCAGATGCAATTAATTGAAATTTCCTTTGGAATATGTGATATAAATAGTTGCAGTTTCCAAAAAAACAAATGTTAATACTCTATACATATATTTTTCATTGCATTAGCTAGTTTGTCCTTAATCCAATAATAAACCTTTAGTTGTTCAACTCTGAGAAATTTTTTTGGTATCAAAAAGCTGACAAAATTCAGTACTTGTGAGTGGAAAAGTAGTTCTGCTTTGGTAGATTCAGACTCCATTAATGATTAGCTCTTGCTATGCAATAATTTACACCTTGTCCAAACAGGCGTTTTTGTAAAATTTGGTTTTTAATTTGTAATGCTTGAAGTCACTTGCAACATTACATCCACAAATAACAACTCTTAGGTGAAATCCCCACATGTGTATATTTTCTTTCAACCAGAAAAATCTTCTGCTGCAGTTTGAGCAGCAGCCCAACCCAAAGCAGAGGCCAGGAGCCCACAGTGGAGGGTGAGAGGGGTGAAGGACTGCATCAAGCACTCAGGTAAACAAAATGCTCGTTAATCTTTGCCCTCGGCATGCAGCAAGCGTGAGGGAGCGAACTCTCATCTGGAAGAGTATTTGGAGAGAAGTAGCAAACATGCTATAAATTAACACCCTTGTTGACTTAATGAAAACCTTCCTGCCTTAACAACCTGCCAGACAGGGGTGTGATTGATCTGTCTTCCCAGCAGTGCTCCCTACCACAGAGGAAATGTGTGTATGCTGTGAAGGATGGCTGGAAACGAGCAATGAGAGCAGCTGTCCCAGCCAAAGATGGGCCATGTTCCCAGCAATCTCCACAGCACTGGGTTTGAAGGGTGCTGCACCTGTGTGTGTGCTGCCACTGTGGGCAATCTGTCACCAGCAAGGACATAGCTGAGATTTATTAAAAGGAACTGTGGTTTAAACAAACCGTAAACAGCCTCAGCGCTCTGTAGTTCAGCTGGACTCAGTTTGCTCTTTGCCTCTGAAGCTTCCTGTTACCAGGAGCCCAACTACAAAGACATGGCTCCTTTCATGTGGTGTCCTGCCAGGCTGGGTCACATGTGTGCTCCTGAGAGCACAGTCTACTCCAGTGTCTGCCACTGGGCCCTCCTTGGCCTCTCCATGGGAGACACCCATTCCTCTTCCTTATTATAAGGAATTCTGTGCAGTGAATTGCTAAACCATCCAGCGTCTAAGCCTTCTGGGAGACAATTATAAAGGCAATTGTTCTGTCACCTTTCTCGTGCCTCTTCTGTGGATCTGTATGTACAATCCCACTGAGCGCTTTGGACTAGAAAATTGTTTTGTTATAATCAATGAAAGGTTTGTTAAAAATGAGTGTCTTACTGTTGGCATTCGATATGTATTTTTGAGGGATGCTGAGGAGTTGTGGATGACATGCAGTGGGTGGCACAAGGAGGGCTTGTGTCTCCTTTAACAGTGGTCTGAATCTGCCCTGGTTAATTGGTTAATGCTAATGAATATTTGTCAACAGCTTGGCTTGTAGGAGGGAGCTGTGAGGATCAGTCCCAAGCACGGCTCTGCTGTTGAGAGGAGCTATTTTATATGCAGGCCTTCTGATGTTGCAAAGAGTACAGGAAGGGTATTTCCTTCAGCTTGGGCTGAGGAAAGTGAGAAGGAGTAGTGAGAGGTGGTGGTGCTCCTCTTGCTGATGTGCCCTACAGTAGGTTGCAACCAGGACCTTGTCTATGCATGAGATTTTATACCACAAATAGCTATTCCATATTTGCTCTTTGTTGAGAAAAGAAGACAATTTTAAATAGCACATCCAGGTAGCAATTTCTAGGGCCCAAGAGCTGGGTACTTCTCGTGCTGCTTCTGGCAGAGGTGAAGGACAGATTGGGTTGTAGAGGCATTAATAAACTTGCATGTAGGAGCTGGCCCTTTGGGAGCTACTTTAAAGCATTTTGAAAACACACATTCCTTTCTCCCTTGTACCTCTCCAGTCTTTAAACAGCAGATTTCAGCACACACAGCTTCTGCTCCTGAACTTGTGCATTTAGAGCAAGTGAATTTTCTGCTGTAGTTTTGCACTTGTTCTGGGTTGACAATTTCTGCTGCTGCCAGTGTTGCTGCCTACCCTCCCCTCTGTGCCCAAGGGGCAGCAGCCCTTGCTTCCCATGACCAACTGCACAGGGAGGGACAGTCCTGGGGTAGGACCTGCACCAAGGCAGACATTTCATGGAGGTCTGGTGAGGCAGAAGTGAGGAACCAACAGGAAAAGTCACTGGTGTTCTGCTATGTTAGAGGTATTCCTGGTAGCATGCAGTTATATCATTAAATGGAGAATGTATAGCAGAAATTTCAGCCATGAACCTTGTTCCAGTGTCCCTAATGTGAAAGGCTGTGCAAGGGCTTTTTTGTGTGAGAGGCTGCAAATGAAGGAGCAGGATACTCAAGGCAAGAGAGATTTCGGTAAATGTGTGAAAAGGAAGAAGCTGATGCAACATTTCCTCTCTTGAGCAAGTGGCAGCTCAGCTCTCAAGGCAGCTTAACACTGTGTGGGTCCTGGAGCCAATATGAGCAGAGGTGCTGGCACTGGGATAATACAGGTGGGATCAGAGGCAGCTGCTGCCACCAATGTATCCCCTCAAACGTCTTTTTCTGGCTTCTCTCCCCTCCAACCCCTCCCCTTTAAGAAAAGTGCTGTTTGTAAATTGGTTCATCATTTTGGGAGCAGGGAGAATTTCTTTACTGAGCACCAGTTTAGGTCAATTTTCCTGTGTTTCTGCATGGCGGTGTTGCACCAGGGCTATTTATAATGACACTCTTAAATCTAAGATCTGGCATTGTGCTGGCTATCATGGCTGGCAGAAGGTCTGCCCTCTAATCCTGCTTTTGCACCTCTTTCTCCCACTCAGTTCAGGGTGAAATGTTCCCATTCTTTTCATGGCTTGGTTTTATACCCTGGTTAAAGAAGAAAAATATATGTGCTATGTAATAGTGACTGCTTGTTCTTCATCAGATGTGACCTTACACATGTAGGAAGTGTTTTCTATAAAGAAGAAAAATATATGTGCTATGTAATAGTGACTGCTTGTTCTTCATCAGATGTGACCTTACACATGCATCAGATGTGACCTTACACATGTAGAAAGTGTTTTTTATTCTCAAAAAAAAAAAAAAGAAAAAGGGGAAAGAGAGTAGGAGCCATACCAACCTACCTTACCTGGTAGGTAAAACCTACCAGGAAGATAAAATGTCATCGTAACACAGCAGGACTGAGCCACAGGACAACTCCAGAAGCAGCGTTCCAGCAGCGCAGCCCTGCCAAGGAATCACGACCAGCTGCTGTCAGGGGTTGGGTTTTTTAATAGTGTCACTTGAAATGTGGCCATATTCTGAAGAGAAAGGCAGGCAGAGGAGGGCAGTGGGTGGCCCTCCCACCAGGCTGTCTCCTGACAGCTCCACCTCTGCCTGCCCAATCCCCAATGCACTGACAACAGCTGTGTGTAAACATCTCTTTCTCCTCCTGTGTTCCAATAGTGCTTTTTCAGAGAAACCTCTGCTTTGGCTGGTGAACAGCCAAAGCACTTCTCATGGTTTTCTCTGTTCCCAAGGATGTAGGCTCTTCAGACCTTTAATGGGACCTTCATTGTCCAAATCCAAATATCTTTCAAGCCTTTCTCTATTGAAATTATGCACCAGATGTCCACGTTAGGGCCATAAAGATTTGGCATTTGCAGATAGGCAGGAGGAAGCACAGTGAAAGGAACCATTTTCTCAGTAACATACACTGCTGAGGGCTGTGTTTATGTTGAGCCATGCTCTCACATTTCAGACCAGTGCAGTGTGCCATCTATGGCACCAAAACACACAGGGTGGTGTATTTTTCAGTGGATTCCACCTCTGTGGACTTTCCTGATTTCTGGCTGCTGCTCAGCTGACAGAAGTGCTCAGGTCCAGACTGTTTCTGTTTTCTCTGGTAGGCTTCTCCCACATTGTTGCCCATCAAGGGTGCCCATGGGGTTTTGACTGGGAGGTGCAATCACTGCTGCAGGATGAGGGGAAAACTGCAATGCCTCCAGATATATTTGCTTTTTCAGCTTCCACCTGCTAAACTGGTAGGTAGCTGGTGTACACCAGGAGCTTTCAAATCCTCCTCCTGTCCAACACAGCATAACCTCCCCCATCCACACCAGGCTGGCACTGCCTGGCACCTCACCAGTGTGAAGTCCATTTTCAGAAACCCTGTAATTATGTTAATATTCAGGCATGACGTGCAGTATTGCTTGGGCTAGCCCTTAATTGTATGAACAGGAAGACATCAGTGACATCAGGGAGTGTCATAGTCTCCTCTTCTGCTTCAGTAAGGAAGGAAACTTCAGTAAGGAAGTTTCCAATGCAAACAGTAATACCAGAGAGGTGATTTTTCAATGGCTCTTTTACACAGCAACAAAGAGGAGAATTTGACTTTGAAGATGGAAATTGCTTGTCTGAGTGGGTGCACAGCAGTGACAGCAGCACAAGGTGTGTGCCTGGACAGCTGCTCCAGCTGCATTCCCTGCAAAGGGCTGAGCTCCCAAATCTTATGTCCACAGAAAGTAATGGAAAATTCTGTGTTAGGAAGTATACAACTTACCTGAGACCATACTCTGCAGAGACTTCTTAGCTTGCTTCACAATCCTTTTCTGAACAGGAAAAAGTAAAAGGAAGTTATTTCTCTGGAATGCTTTGATGAATGCTATTTGTAAATCCTTTCAATTATATTTTCCTGTTATGGAAGCCTAGAAGGCCAGTGTGTCCTTTTTTTTGGGTGTTTGCAATCAGACATGGCCACACCTGTGGAATATTCCTTCTTGTAGATGATTTCTCTCCCCCTGCTGTTTCAGAAATCAGCCTGCTGGGCTGAAGCTAAGCATTTTGAAACAACCATAAAGTTTGTACATCTGTGCTTTTGTTGTTTTTTGTTTGTTTGCTTGTTTAGTTTGGGTCTCCCCTCCCCCTAGTTAATACACAGAAGACTTCTCCAATTAGCCTGACTTACCTCTTAGCCACTTCTTTTGGGTACTCTGGCAGTCATTGCAGCTGCAAGGAAGTGATTTCCAAGGTTTAAAGGAAAAATGAGCCTGCCCTCTAGCTGCTGAGTGCACCCTTTTTCCCATTTCCTTGACTTTCCTAGAGCACCTAGGACAGAAAGTCAGTTTTGCTCCCTCCCCTCATGCTTCCGGAGCTCTGATGGTCCTTGTCCTGCCCAGGGGCTCCAGCTATGTTTGCAACACGGCTCCTCTGCATGGACACGATCTGGCATCTCACCAGTGTGAAGTCCATTTTCAGAATGGCCATTAACTGATAAGGACAACTGTGTGACTTTTGCACAGCAAAGCTGGCTCTCCAAGCCACAGGGCAGCAGTTTGTGCCATAATTTCACCTGCATTGCCTTTGCCATGGTGAGGAACCCATGCTTGAAGGGCAGGACAGACCTCAGGGTCTGGTGATACGTAGCACCCAAGGTCAGCATCTGGGTTTAAACCACATAAAGGATAAGGACCACACTGATGAGGAGAGAAATTATTTTAGAGGTGTTGGCATAGCTCAATGATTTTTGGCCATGGTAAATCCTAGCACCGGCCTTTCACAAAAGAAAGTAATTTCTCCAGTGGTCTGAAAGAAAAACAAATGGTACATAATTTCAGAAATGTAAAAAAAGTTACTTTAAGTGTTTTGGTTTGGGTTTTTCCCCTAAAAAAATAAAATTTCTTGCAGAGGAAACTTTCAAGAGGAACTACTCTGTTTTCAAGCATTTGAAATGGAAACCAAGAAACGAATATTTAGGGAAAGTGGCTTCTTTTTTAATGCTGCCTCTGCCTAATGAAACTGCTGGAGATAACACGGGTCAGGTCCACTTCCTTTCTTTGCTCAGAGCAGCTTGGACAGCCATTGCCCTGATTTCATGATGATGAAGTTCTTCCTTTCCAGAGCAAATGCATGCTCTGTGTCCTCTGACAGGCATCCTGCTGGAGCTGGGCTTGTCCCGAGGGACTGTGGTGTTTGTCCTTGAGGGGTGAGCACTGACCTGCTCTGCAGACAGCGTCTCACTTTGCTGGCTGGGGCTCACTGGGGCACACAGGCATTTATTTAATTAACACAGGGGTTAGGCCACCTTGTTAAATAGGGAGCAAGACTAATCAAATTACCACTTCTGGAGGCAAAACATTGCTCTTAACCAAAAGTTCCCATTTCTTAGAGAAATGGCCTAAGGGAAAGGCTCTGGTATAACACTTTTGTCTGAAGGAAAATGGCTGTAGGGCACTTGAAGAGCAGCTGTTGAGCTGAACAATAAAATCCTCCCTGCCCCTTGTAAAAGGTTAGAAAGAGGGAAAGAGAAAAACGGCTTTAAACATTTCTGATTTTTAATTTTTATTTTTTGGAAACTAGGATTTTTACTAACATGAACTTTGTGGTGAGTGTCTGCCATCACTGAATGCTTAAAAGTAAAATGTACAACCTCCTCTCTGCCAGATATTTGGTGAAGGCCGTGAGGCAGAGGGGTAAGGTGAGCTGCCAAATGGGTGAAGGCTTTGAACACGACGGAAAACTGGAGAGAGCCGTAAACACAGACCAAGGAGGTGGAAATTTCCCGAGGGAGTGCGAGGGTGCCCTGAGGGGCCGGTGACAGGCGGGGGCTGTGGCGGGGCAGGTTTGCAGAGGCGCCGGGGCCGTGCTCCTCAACAGCGAGCTGGGGGCGTACGGAGCAGCCGGGAGAGGCGGCGTGTCTGTAAATCACGTTCTAGAAGGAATTTTCCGCTCGGGAAGCCGCTAGGTGGCATGTGAGGCGCAGCAGAAGCGCAGCGCCAGAGCCGGAGGCCGAGCCGGCTCCTGTGGTCAGGCGCGGCCTGAGGGGCCACGGCCGCCTCCGGCACGGGGACAAGGGCCGGCTTGTTCTAGGGACTGTATTCTAACATAGCTCAGCTCTCTGGGGTTTTGTTTGTACTGATTATTGGGTCGGGATTTTGTTTAATTGTGGTTTCTCTATATTTTTTTGTTTGTTGGGGGGATTTTTAATGTTTTCTTAGGGTTTTTTTAGGGTTTTTTTGGGGGGTTATTGTTGTTTTTTGGTTTTGTTTGTTTTTTTCCCCCCTTTTCTTTAAAATGGAAAGAAAATATTCGGAGATTGTGGGACACAATATTTTAGCAGGCAGGACCAGCTTACACTTCACAAGTACCTCCTGGCTATAAACCAGGAGGGATGTAGCCACCAGCCCCCCTTGCAGGCCATGTCTGAGCCTTCATAACATTACCAGTTACCTCGTGCTGTCTTTTCAGCTTTAAACAAAGTGTTCTTTTACACAGATGTTCACTGACTGGACCTTTAACTATGGCCAGATATATTTTTAAAGGTCACTGAAGAGTCACCATCACTCTATACTATTGCAACGTTGGAGCTGTTGTCCAGCTCTGTTGTCTCTGCCTGGTAGTGAACCATTTGGTCATTTTCTTGTGTTTTTTCTTGTGGTGTGTGTTTGTTTTTAATGCTCAAGTTGAAAAACTCCCACAAAGATCCTATGCAATCTCAGATGACTAATTGAGGCTACTTATTTGTAGCAATGTGTTGCAAACTCATCTTTCTTTCTATAGGTAAAAGCATCTTCTACAATGCACTTTTGATAAGTTCCTGCAGTGATTTTTGCAAGTAATGCCACAGAGGTCTCTTAAATTCTCCCAGTGTATTGTTGTCATACACCAATTTGAAAATAAGCCTCTGAAACCAGATTCTCTGGATTGTTTGATCATGGCACAAAATGATATTTTCTGCCAGCTATCCAGCTTGCAGGAATATTTCAGTTTGACACAGAAAACTTAGTGAATGAACTAATTGAATGGTATGCTAAAATATATGAAAAATAAAGGGTACTTCTACAAAAAATGTGGAAGCATAAATAGCCCTAGCTATGCTGGGGAAGATACAGGTTCTACCTAGTAATGAGTCCTGGTCCCTAGGAAGAGAGAGGTGGAGAAGTGTTTTGAAAGGTGAAGAGGCACCTTTGTTCTGCACTGGGCATCCTTTGTGCAACCACCACCAATCAGCCATGGAAGCTGTGGGTTGGACATGTGAAACATGAGGGCAGGGACATGTTCCCACTCCATCACTTGCAAAGACAAGCCCTAATTTGATTATGAATTACAGGGACTCACCATTAGCTCTGGAAATGGCCTCCTGCCTTCATTTTTCTGCCCCATCCAATATTTGGGTAATATTGGCTGGATGGTCTCCATCTGCAGCCTACACAGGTGCCAAGGACCATCAAGACATCCATGCTTCTGCTCTTCTGCTGCTTCAAGTCTTGAGTGGATTTATAACTGAAGGAACAATTCAGAAGTTTTAAGACTTGCTGTTTTGGCTACATTTGATTTTTCAGCATAAACACCACTAAGGACTTTTCAAAACAAACTGATGTGTTTGCTTTTGTAATTTCAGCATTTGCTGTCAAAACAACCCTCTTGGTGGCTCTCTTGTTCCTGTGGTACGTGGGCCTGTGTGGCTGGCTTTTGGCTCTGCAGTTCAGAACAATCTGTAGCACTGATCAAAAGGATGAAGGCAATCCAGCCACTTTAAAAAAGAAAACCAAACTCCAAAGAAACAAGTTATTTGGTACTTTCTGACTGATTTTTTCCTTTTGTCTCAGGATTCAGGCTGTAACAATTGGGCATGAGGGCTCTGTATGTTTCTGCTGGTTCCAAGTAAATAGCTCTGTTGTGTGGGAGCAGTGATGGACCTATACTGTGCTATTTGATTAGCAATAAGATGCATTAAAAGGCTGAGGTGGCACTGGATTTACTGTGAAAAGAGATGGTGCTAAAGGAGCCCAAACTGCCTTTTTCAGGTAATTGTTGTCTTCTGCCCTCTGCTTAGTTCAGGCATGTTGCCCTCTCCTTCCCTTCTGCAGAGCGCTTTAGCACTCTGGATTTTTGTCTTTTTGGGCTTTTTTTACTCTGGCAACAAGTGCTTCCCCAGGATCTGGCTACTGCTCTGACCCTGTCAGATAATGAGCATGGCCTTAGCACTTCAAGTTGATGTAAATTAAAGCACAGGGAAGGATTTGGTCTTAACTGCATTTGATTTTGACCTGCTGATGCTGCATGCTGTAGCCACACAGGCACTGAGACCCTCTTGTAGCATGAACAGATCTTGGAGAAGAAATCCCCATGAGGAGCACCCAAATGGAGATGGTTTCAGTCTCACAGGCATCTGAGAAATCAGAAATGTTCCCTATTTACTTTAGAATGAACCCAGATTCCTGGGGCCTTTGCTGTTCAGCAGAAAGGTCATGGAGATCATTTGCCTCTCTGTAACAGCCCTGAAGTAACCAGAGAGGTATTCACTGGGCAGTGACAGACTGTGTGTCAGGCCCTGCACTCATGCCTGGTTTCAGGTGGGAGCTCTGCACCCTCTTGCCCATACACAACAGGATGGGAGAAGGCATGCCAAGGGGGCTCCTGAGGAAAACAGTTCCACCTGGTTTTAGTTTATTTGCCAGAAGCTCAGCTCTTGTTTTCCTGCAGCCTGGCTGCTCTCCCAGGACGGGGGATGGTCTCTTTTGCTTGGAGAAGAGGTTACGTGTCCACAGCTCTGTGGCACTGTGGCCTTAGGCTGGTTGCCTGGACTGGTGCCTTCAGAATTTTGACATTTTTCATCTAATGGTGAGCTTAATCAGTTCTCAGTAGTGTCACATTTCAGCTGAGTTTAGACAGCAAGAGAGGCCACTGTCTGGTTGCTATTAGGTGAAGTTGGAGGAACACAAAGTGGGCTAGTGGACTAGTCCCATAAGGACAGGTAAGGACAGATAAGGAAGGATATTGCAAAGGATTGACCACAACCTCCCATCTGGGCTGTGGCCATATCCCATCTGACCTGCTCTGCAGGGTCTTAGCTACGTGATCTGGGTTTCCAAGACCCCAGCAGGTTTAAGCAAAGGGTTTTTATGCTGCTATTGCAACACCAGTTTTTCCAAGAATTTTAGCTGAACTTACCACTGTTCCACTCAGACTCCTCGGAAAAAGGTCATTCTGGCCCCACTTTGGGAAAGTGCTTATTTCCTCATCAGAAACTGGTGTCCTGATCCAACCTCAGTGATGTAAGGCACAGATAGGGTGGGGCCCTCGTGTTTGGCCTCAGGCCAAGTCAGCAATAAGGACACACCTGCAGCACTCTGTCAGCAGGGATTTTATTT